TTAATATATCGGGATACAAATTTTGCACGCATATTTCCTTTAAGGTATGCCAGGTCTAAAAATTGTCAAAATGAGACTATATCTATTCAAGCCCCCAGATACCGCCAGAAAACTTGCCTTCGCCCCCATATATCTGATATTGATGATTTTGAAACGTCCGGCTGACTTTACTCCATAGATTTGTTTACATTTATAAAATTTCCTGAAAATAAGTTCTCAAGTATACCTGTGCAAGTCAAAAATTAATGCAATCTACCCTTCCATTTTTATGCCCCGAATGATTTTAGTATGTTGGGTGAGCGCTTCGATGCTTCGGTGTCTCTTCAAAGTCTGATTTTTACCGCCTACTTTCAGGCATAAAGAGATAACATAAACTTGCGTCTATTTATTATCGTGATATATTTCAAACAACATTCAAATGTAATAAATATATATCTAATTATATACATATACACAAGTGTATACATATGTATATATTAACCAATATATTTATGTACTTTGAGTCAGATATGTGCATATGATTAATTGCTAACGCAATTTCCTTTGGCTGTGTGTTAGAAGCGTTGGCGGGGAGTCTTTTAGCGGTTATCAGTAGCCATTTATTGGAGGATTAAAGCGCAAAGTTATTAGCTCTTGATACAAATGATTTTAGTGCACAACTGTTGTTATTAATTTCGAATATTGGCTTACCGAATTGCTTTGATATTCCTACCATATTGAAACAGTTATTTCAAAATAATTACGATAAATGGATATATGCACATGCGAGTACTCAAAAACTTACCAAATTTGACTATTTTCCAACAATATTGTTGTAATTTAAGTTAATTTAATAGAGTCTGTTCACTACCACTTCGACAAGTTCGCAAAGTGAAAATATTTTTATTTTTATAAAACACTTCAAAAATGTTGGTTTTCTTATTTTTTAATATAATATTTGTACTAAGTTTTATGTTTTATCCTAAATTTGGACACCTGCCGTTTGGACTAAAGTAATAATTTATACTGTTAACTAAATATGCACATTCATACAATTTTTAAACGGTAGTATTCCATTGGAATTTTTCCAATAATATTTTTTCAATAACTTTTACTGGTTTATTTAATTTTTTATTCATAATTTCAGCGATATCACAATAATTATGAAGTAAGTACTTTGTAGAGAATGCGCAAATTTGGTCCGACTGTAGTAGTGGGATTACTCCAGCGAGGTTGACAGCAGGACAACAAATGTCTCGGCAAAGTCCCTTATGCATGCAGCTTACCAAATAAACAGTTGGCGACATCGAACATACATATGTATGTATATGGTTGCATAGTATTTATTTTTACTTTTATATTTCGCTTGAAAAAGCTCCGCGCACTTTGCAGCCGCAAATGAAAAGCTCTGCTTACCATTCGGGTATTCCTTATCAGTCAGGGGGGAACACTACAAGCGTGTTATCAGTGGACGCGAACCGACTGTCTTCCCGATGTGTGGAAAGTTTGATGTTTTAGTTACTTTCCCAAATCAACCGCTACACAAAGCGCGCCATTTTCACGCGTAACGGCGTAAATTGAAATCAGCCTCGCCGCAGTCTACGTGTCCTCCAGGTAAAAAGGTAAAACCACATAATATGAGATTTAGGATTTTTGACGGTAACTAAAAATTCTTCTTTATATTATATATTTGGCCAATAAGTTCAAACGTCTGAACAAAAGCACATTAAGCAAAGCCACAAAAGTACAAGGTTGGTGAGAGTTTAAAAGACCTTTAACAGTCGTTTTTTTATTTGATATAATTGATTGCTTTCTTAATTTGATATAATATATATATATATATAATTCAGTGCTCTAACATCTTTTCACGTCGTTAAACCGGTTAGTAATAACTTCTAAAGAAATAGAGAACATTATCTTTCCTTCGACTGAGTAGAAAACTTAGGAGTATTGATTTCTGTGAAGAAAAAAATAAAATCTTAAAAGCTTTTGAACCACTCGATATAGTTCACCATATAATTTTGAGGAATGATGCCAAGTTGACAATGTTTAGCCGGATATAAATTATGTAAATATCATAAAATATGTAAAATTCTTAGTGTCTTGCTGCGGTTCTGCTTTTTAAAACTGAACTTAATGATCCTAACAAAGTTAAAGTGACAGAAGAACAATATTACTTGGACTATCGTCAGTGGTTCTAAGTTAGCTGTGACAGTCGAAAATTATAGGAAAATTTTTCCACAATTAACCCCACCAGCAATTCGAATTTAGAGTTCAGTAGATGAGCTATTTAGGTTATTGAAGGGGCCAAAGGGAAATAACCGTATATTTGGATGTTCTCCGATTTTTTGCTGACCTTAATCAGATTTCCATTATTTATATTGCAGAAGCCTTTGAAAGATAAAAATAGGTCTAATTTGAATTTCAAAATGTTATCTTCTTTCTGAGCTTAAATTTGTTTGGCTTAAACCCGTTATTTCGAAACTTTCGAAATGTAACCTTCATCTCTCCATACCACTTTATCGTAAATTGCAAGCAAATTTAATTTAAAAGCGTTTATTGTTTTTTTTTTTTGTGATTCATTTTCATTGGACATTTTCGCATCCTCTTTTCCTTTTTGCGCGATGTCTGTCTGCGGCCGTCAGTTTTTACTTTTGCTTCGCCGTCCTCGGCATTGCGGGCACGCAACTAACTGTTAACTCGTGCCGTGCGTCAAGTTGAAGGACCACTGACTATCAGCGGCAGCTGTGAGTTGTTTACTTTGGCATATGGCACGCAGGCAACATTAGTCTTATGTACTCCAATGCTTTTTCTGTTTATCTATCTTCTCCATCTGTTGTATACACATTTGCTTGTACATATTTGCTACAATGTAGGAGTAGAAATGCGTCCGCAAGTACTCATCTATGAGTGCTTATGAACGCGATTGCAAAATAGCCAATCGTGACAAACAGGTGCAGTGGTGGTAAATTGATTTCAAGTTCATTTACTTGCCGCGACTTCCGCCTCATCTCAACACATTTTCTTTTCTTCGTAGTAAGCTGAGAGCTGCACTAATAGAATTTCTCAGGCTAAGCTCATTCACATTAGAATTCTGCTTTCTATACTTAAGAATAGTGAATCATAGTGTACATTAAATCACTAACAATATTCACCATAAAATAGAAGAAGAAATGTCAACTTTTCGCTAAAAAAATTGCTAATATTTGATTCTTAATAATTATAACCACTTTTGTGTTATCAAAATTTTAAATAGTTGTATCCAATCAAATATTATTAATTATTTAATATATGATTTATCAAATCTTAATTTTTTTTGCTCACGTATTTTCAGTATAATAACTCATGCATTGACCGTTATATAATATACGGCATTAAATTAACTAAAATAAAAAAAATGTTGGGGATAAGGGAAGTACTAAACCGATTTTCTCTATTTTTAGTACAAAGTCGTAATATAATTAGGAGAAAAAAAAGGGGCATCATTTCATTGAGAGATCACTAATTGTGCTATGTTTTATTCAGATATCTATATTGGTGAAGAATTTCTCATTTATACGCGATTAAGTGTTTTAAAGTAAAGACAAAAGGACGGGATTTATTTTAGATTAAAACTTTTAGGATTTCAAATACTTTACCTGAGAGATTCACAACTCAACTTGTGGTAGCAATACTTACACAATTTAACTGCAACATCTTAAACCATATTCATGGAAACGATCTCCCCCACTGCCCTACACATGCTGTTTGAGAGACTTGCAAAGTGATTCATTTAAAGCAGGAAATACCTATTTTAAATCTATATAAGTTTAATCTTACACATCGCAGCTGGAGCCCTTCGGACGAAATGTGGGTGTTCGACGCCCAATAGTTTATTCATGAGAAGAGAGGTTTTGACTGCCTCACAGTAAATAACGTATAGGGAGAGTATATAGTTTTATAGTTTAGTTTACAACCGATTGGCTGATGACCATGCCTTTTATTTTTCTCCAATTGGTACCAGCTACTGAATGAAGTATAGATATGTTCTTTAATTCTAATCGAAGTCGTATGTGAAGTGACGAAGTAGAGAATGGCAATCATTAACAACAAAAAACGTTAACTTCGGTTGCACCGCAGCTATAATACCATTCACAAATACCTAAGATCTCCTAAGAACATTATTTTGATCAGTTAGCTTCTATGATAGCTACCATATATGCTATAGTGGTTTGATCTGAGCAATTTCCGCGGAGATTGTAAAGTTGCCTTGAACATTATTGTATGCCAAAATTCGAGAAGATATCTTGTCAAATAAAAAAGTTTTCCATAATAGAACGTGATTTTGATGTTCAATTTATATGGCAGTTATAGCATTTAGAAAACGAGCTATATAAAATTTCTGATCAATATCTCAAAAACTGAGGAACTAGACAGACATGGCTAAATCGATTCAGCTCGTCATGCTGATCATTTATATATACATTTTATAGGGTCTCCGACGTTTCCTTTCGGTTGTTAAGAACTGACAAACTAAATATGCGCTGTTCAGGGTATAAGAATAAATCCATCTTCCGCTGACTGACTCACTATCCGTTAAGGGTAAACCAGTGATATGAGGGATGTATATATAAACCAAAATAATATTTTTGGGATATATCTTTACAAACCAGAAGTCATTAGTTTTATTCTTTCCTTTGCATTTATTTAAAAAGCTTCAATTGTATGCAACATTTTAAATATTTGTCTGGTTAAAAAATTCTTATATACACAAATACTTTTAAAACATTTTCATTCCATTTTTAATAAAAATAATTTAAGGCACTTTGATTCTGTGGAAGTGGTTGTGGTTTCAACAAAAAGAAAACTCTGAAATTGAAAACACAAGATCATCCCAATGAAGGAAAAACTAAGACAAACAGCCAAAATATATATTATTTGTAATAAACATTTAACTTTAATTTAAATAAAAGCTGTAGCAAGTGAGATGAAAGTATATAAAATAATAATAATAATACGAGTAAAGTAAAAGTTAAAAAAAAATATTTGAGGCGTTAAACATAAAACTAATGTTAGTTATACCTCTATTACGGTTTTCAACTCCACTCGGTTGAATTGAAGTTGAAGCAATTCAAATTCAGATCAACCCAAGTCTTTTTTGGTGTTACGATTTTCAACTATTTTCAGTCGGAGGTGTGGCCAACATAAGAAATGAAGTTTTGACAGATAATTAAACAGCTTAAAATTTTCAAACGAAAAATCAAAACAATTTAATTTAGTTATTCCTTACGAAAAGGTGAACAGTTTATAAAATGGGCAATTGTTTAAATTTATATTACGATGACAAAAATATTGGAGCCAAAAGAAAAAACCTTCGTTATCAGACAAATCTATTTAAATTTCCTAACATTAAGTAAGCCAAAGTTTTATTGATAATTAAATGGTTTTTAAATAATGTTTGTTGCAGATTCATAAGTTATTTTCGTTTAGATAAGGAATCATTTTATTTTTTGAGATGAATGAACGTTACCACACACTCTCCATTTCCTTGCTGACGGTAGTTATCAAGAATGCATTTAAAATTAGTTTTACTTTGAGCTGAAGCATCCTACGATAACTATGGTTGTTACAAAACCTGCTTTTAAAAATTATGAACACCATATTTGTACGTTGTGGATAAAACACTAATGACTAAAGAGGAGAAAAACGTTTCAAAAATTTAATTTTACTCAAAAAGTATATTCTTAGGAGTAGTAGATTGTATCGACTCTTTGTGTTCGAAACACTTTTCACGGTCCCTTAATTTTATTTTAATCTTTCCAAATTGTCAGTTCCAGTTTCAGGATTTTAGTCCAAAAGCTCAACAATTTTTCACCTTCTATGGATAGTTATTTTACCTATTTTCCATTTTCTATTAAAATTTTTCCTAGATAAATTCATTAGTACTTAAATAGAACTGCTTGTTAGCAGTTAAAATTTTTTGATACTCTAGTCCACCTCACTGGCACAGAGTTGAAAACCGTAATACCAAAAAAAAATTTGAGTTTTGACAACACTTCAACCGAAATTTTTTTTTACAGGTTAAGTGGAAAACCATAACACCGAATTTCTAACTTTAACCAATACAGTTGGGTTGAAACCCGTAATAGAGTTATTCATGAAATAAAAATAATAAGTTAAATTAGTAAAACAGACATTAAAGTCCTTTAGTCTAAAATTAGTCCAAGTCAAATACTAGATAATACATAAGACATTACAATTTTTAGACGCATAACAATTGCGCAGATATGACGAGGACAATAAGAATATAAACACGTTAACGACTAGACTTAAGCTTAGAAGTACAAAAAATTTACACATTTTAAAAATAGGCTTGATTTGATACATGTTGTTGTTGCTTTCTCCATCATGCACTACTTATTTTATACTTATTTGTATGTAAACATTTTCTTATTCCTATAATACACAAGAAAAGTAGAAATGCGCTTGACTTCACGGCTATTAACAATATTAACCGTTATGTTACTGATCTTATTTGAGCATTTACAGTGATGTACTTATTGGGTAGTGTCAGGGCTCTGGTAGCAGCAAATGCTACTGTTGAAAAGTCTGCAGACGTGGCCAATCAAATATTGGCACCGAGTTCATATTTGTTGAAGATGTAACGCCATCGTCCACACTTCCGCCATTTAAATACTCATGGACCAGCGGTGGTGACTTTAATGCTTGGAATTGACGCTCTCTTTGCCGTGGAAAGGACATTGTTGGTGGCGATTTCGGGCAAGTTGAACTAACGGGGGCACAAGTAAGCATTGGCGGTTGCGGTGATCTAAATTCGAAGGAGAAAATATTGTTCAATAAATTAAGTAATTTAAAGTAAATGAATTAGAAATTGGAACAATAGCGCTATATACGAGTATGTATGTAAGTGTCTGCTAAAAAAGAGAAGAAAGTGAGTTTTCTCACAGATGAGAATTATGTGCGTAAATTACTCCAAATAAGCGCTGGAGACTAACGACTAATGCTGAATGTCTACCTACTAATATTCCACTAAAATGCGTAGAATTGAGGATTTACTCACTTAAAACTGCGCTTGAGAGTTATCTTTTGATTTTTTGCTGAGTTTAACTTGTAGATTAACAGTCACAGAGGGTATTTTATGATTATTAGCACTTAGGGAGATAAAAATACATTAGCTCTATTAAAATAACATTAAAAAAAAAAAACAATTATATATAAACAGCAAACACTCTATAATACTGGAAAATCAACCCTATTAAAAACTATAAATTATACGACGCTACGCTTACTGTCAACTTACTTTTGTTGTGTTATTGTAAAAACTGACTTGGAAACGATCCGTTTGCCTGTGCGCCAAGTGCGGCCAATATACTTCATACGCTGAATAGCAACAACAGCCAAAGCCACAGTCCTGCAAAGAGAAAAGTAGACAATCAGTTTACTCTTAAATCAATACAGAGTGAAAACCAAAATATCCAGGGCGCTACTAACTTGAATAATTTATTTTTGTTGGGTTGTGGCTGCACCATGCGGCCACCGTTGAGTGCAGCTAGGGCGCGCTGTTCACTTTCTTGATAACTCTGCAGCGAAATTTTCAAATAACGCTTTTGATAGACAAGCGCTTTGCGGTGCGATTCCAAGCGTAAATAGCGCCCTAATAGCTGATTGCAGCGGTCTTCCAGCTCTGACACATTAGCCGTGCCGCCGAGCTGCGACTCGAGATCTTCGCACTTTTTCTGCAATTGACGACGCTCCTCCACAAGAAATTGCACGGTTTCGGCCATTTGACGATTCTCTTGTGTATTCTCCGCTAGCAGCGCGTTTATTTCCTTCATTTTTTGCAAAAACTGTTGTGGCACAGAAGACTCAGCGGCACTCATATTTGCATTGGCAAGCGCTTCTGACAGTTTGGCTTCGCGCTGTGCCGCACGTTCGCCGTCGAATCGTAGCTGTGTAATGCACTTGAGTAAATTGTCGCGCTCCGCTTCGGTAGCTAACAGCAGTGACTTAACTTCCTGCATTTCACCAAGCAGTTGTGCGCTTTCTCTTTGCTGTCGGTCACGTCGTGTGCTACGTCGGGTTTCAGCCTCCTGCAGTGTTGCAAGTCTAGCCTCCAAACTCTCTATCTCCTGTGTTTGTATAGTTAGTCGTTCTTGCAAGTGCTCGCACTCTTGTTCAGCTAAATCTTTATCACGCCCCAATTTCTCCATTTCATGCTTTAATTTCTCACAATAATCCACGCGTTCCTCCAGCTCGTTTTCATAGCGCTGTCGCTCTCTTTCACTGGAACGTTGTGCATCGGCGCAACGTTCGCGTTCGCGCTCATTCTGTGCCGTCAGCAACTTGATTTCACTGCGAAGGCGCTCAGCCAACTCCGACTCGAAATCGTTACTTAGTGCGCGCGGCGATTTGCGCGGGGAATCGGATGGTGATTTCAGCAACAGTGAATTACGACGCGACTCTGCGCGATGAATGGCGGTCAACTGCGTTTGCACGCGCTCACAACGCTCGCGTTCAATATCCAGCAATTTATGCAGCTCATCCTCTTTCTCCAGCGCAGTCTCGAGTCGCTTGCGCATTGCCTCAATGATAAGCACATCTTGCTCTTGTATTTCCTGCGAGTGTTGCTTTTCAATAAGCAACTTCTGCCGTATATCTTCATTGTGTTCACGTTCCACGGCAATTTGAACCTTGAGCGCCTCCAATTGGTTTAACAGCTCGCGCTCGCCAGTGTAGTTTTCGTCGTCTGTGCCTTGTGCTTCAGTCTTATTAGGTTCTTGCGATGCCTTATCGCGACTTTTGCGGTCCAAGTTGTTTTCTTCTTCGCTCTCGATGGCTTGAAGTATATTCGAGTCTAGCTGCACAGAATAGTTCAGTTCCTTTTCGACTTGTTGTGCTATTTCATCGACTGAGTATTGTTTTGAACTGTTATCGCTGTTTGGTTGTTGCCGCAAACGTTCCACCTCCTCCTCCAGAGCAGAAATCTTTTGCTGCATCTCGATGGCAGTCTCATCAGCTTGCCCCAATTTATTAGTAAGCATCTGCAATCTCTGTTCCTTGGCTTTCAATTGTTCGTTTAGCTGCACGATGTCCACTTTGCGCATCTCCAACTCGAGCACAGTATTCCTGCACTGTTCGTGTGTTTCACTTACGGCTCGCAACTCTTTACGCAAGCTCTCGCGTTCATTCACTTCCTGTTCCGTCGCCTCCAGCATTTTCTCTTGTAATTCGGTAATTCGTTTTTGGAGGCTATGTTCATTCTCCTTGTAGTTAAGCAGCTCCTTTTCTCCTTTAGTCAATCGTTCTTGTTGTTCCTTATTCTCCTTGGTTAGACGTTCTTGAGAGCTAAGAAGCAAATCGATTTCGGCCGTCTTTTCAGCGATTTGCGTTTGAAGAATTACGCATTTTTGTGCTTCCTTTTTCAACTCGCTGATTTCCATTTGGTGTCGTTCCAATTCATGTTGCAGACCACCTAAACGCACTTGTGTGCCTACCAACTCTTCCTCAATGGATTGTATTTCTCGATCCTTTTCGCATATAGCTTTCTCTTTCTCCGTGGAAGCACTTGTCAGTTTCTCCTTTAAATATTGCACCTCTTGTTCCAGCTTCTCGTATATCTCTTTCTCCTCTGGTAGCCTTCTGTCCATAGCGGACATCTCTAAGCCCGGAGTCTTCAGTTTTGAATCCTCTGCCAATGCAGAGAAGTTAATTTGGCGTGGTACGATCGGTGGCGTAACCGTTGCCGCGGACTGGCACGTCATTGTTAGCACATTGGGATCTTGGAAGTAATGTGGATTATCGAAAGTATTCACAGGACGTAAAATGGCGAGTCCAGACAAATCCTCGCTGCGCTTATGCGTCAAGTTCGCCACAGCTTGCTTTGAAGTGTCCTAGAAGCAAATAAAATGTTTTTTTCATAAAATTTTTAGCTTCACAGGTTCTTACCATTGATTTGCGTCCGAAAGCACGATTACCATTGGCCAGCTGAACTGGAGTCGCCTCGTGTAACACAGCTGCACGGCGCATCACATCGGGCTCATCAAACTCGCTGATGGATACTATGTCACTCAGTGTGTGTGCACTCAACTTTGTGCTATTTTCATCTTTTCCAACAACGTTGTTCTTCCCAGCAACAACACCACCACCTAAACTGGAAGCCTGGCTCGAGTTGAGCTCCTGTATTTCCATATTTTTCGATTCCAATTGTTCGCGCAGATGATCGATCTCTTCATTCTTATCAGCCAGCATTGTTTCCATTAAGTCGGGCAAAGCCAGCTTGTTTATCATCTCATTCTTGATTTTCTCCTTCAGCATTTGTATGGCGGAATTTTTAAGCTTCAATTCCGTCTCCAAACGTTCCACAACACTACGATCCGGTTGTTGTTCCACAGCCAACTCTGCTTCAAGCCGATCAATAGCAACCTTACTCTTTTCCAATTGCTGCTTCATTGTTGCTATTTGCTTGTCACGCACGGAGACGATTTCGCGCAAATTGTGTACCTCGGTTTGGAGGTCATGAATTCGTACATTAAAGTCGGTCGAACCTGCACGCTGTAGTTCCATTGCTCGTTTTCGTTGCTCTTCCAGGCGCGATTGCAATGTGGAGATGCGTTGATTTTGCTCAGACATGCGATCTTGTAGGGCTTCCCGATCATGCTGGAGTTCCTAAATAAAAGCGGCAACAGAAAGAGAAAATGTTTTATACTATGTTATGTTATGGGATATGTTTTGTTATATTTTGTTAACTTATGTCATATATATACTGAACCGGTTGAACCAGTTAATATATGTGTGGTAGAAAAATACAAGACTAAAGTTTCCTTTATTTAATAATAATAGCAGTATTTGACAAAGAGTAAAAATGTTATTGCAACTGGTAATCACTTTACACAGTTCATTGCCTGCTGATGTGCTGAGTGCCTGAAATCCACTTTAGAACAAATAATAGTACAATGTCGTTTCATTGCAAGCATTTACATTTGCATCTTAATTGATTCAATGCACAAAGGCGCAGAAAATTAATACACTAAGTTGACAGGATTGAGTGGTTAATGGAAGATTTTTAAATAACTGCATATCGTCATCATAATATACAAGTTCAATAAACAACACTTGTAGCGGCGCATTTGCGTATTTAGAACTGAGACAGTGGAAAATTAGAAAATAATTAAAATTTTAAATATGAACAGGAATATTTGTTGTTGACCGACCTTAAAAACATTGTTTCTATCATACTACCTTCTCAGCTACTTGAATGAGAATCTTTTGAACTACAGTACTTGTAAACAATATGTTTTAGGATTGAGCATATAAAGAGAATAATACCATTAAAATATAAAACACAGATATGGAATATCAAAAAGAAAAACATTGAGATAATAATACTGGAAAGGGGTTTTAATCACGTGTTGGCGAAGACCTTTAAACATAATGTAACAAATGGTGACAATTCGGAATGTAGAGCTGAGGAAGCAATAATAACATTTAACAATCCGTTGAATTAGAACCAATGGAAAGGGCAAACTCGGATCAGTCCTCCTGTATTTGAGCTGGCATAGACAGGTGAGCAAATATTCAACCGAAGATTATTATGTTGCAGTCCGGGTATATTTGGATATTTGTAAATTTATACTTTCATTTTCATTAACAACAATTTCGGTTGCCTTTAAATGTGTGCATTAAATTGCGTCGCAATAATTGTATCCTGAAAATTGAAAATTGATTTCGTCAACAGCTCCATTTTTCGCCAACTATCCCGATTATTGAGCCAGTTATGATCCAAATAATATCTTATATGTCCGGGAAGATACTGATAATTAACTAATTGAGTACAGATGTTTTCTTCTGTTTTCAATATCTAGCAATTTTTCGGAAAATGTTTCTGCTGATGGTGCATTTTGTATTGTACGTGCATGCTTATGGCCAATCGAAGCTCTTCAACACTTCGTCATAAGAATTATAGCTACAAACATACATTTATCCCATCGGCGAAAGTAGAGCGAGAAATGACCAGCAAGGCACAACCGAATACCATATAAATATATATATTTTGTTGAATAATGAACACATGCCTATGTTTAGAAATATATATTTTTTACTTATGCTGAACACAATAGTTTTATTCACCTAACGGTTGTTTGTATCACTTTAAACTAATAGAGATAGATAAACTACACGTGATCCTTTTCAAAAAAAAGTTAGGACGAGTTTGGAGATGGGCGTAATGGGACCACTGCTACGCTCACAAAACGACATTAATCAAAATCATACAAGTATAAGGATTTTATTAAAAACTACTAAAAGTGCGATAAATAAATGAGTCAGAGATATTAAATTTTACATCCAGGATGCCACAAGAGAGCTTTATAGGACCAGGTGTCAAAATTGGACGATGGGCGTAGACCGCTCACATTTAGGTGAAATAACATATCTCCGGACCTACTGGGCAATTTCAGCCAAATTTGATATAACGGGTTATTTTGACAATCCCATATTGCAGTGCGAAATCGAACTGCAACCACGCATACTTCCCATATAACACAGCTTTAAATTCCATCTGCTTCTTTCACTTCCAGTATGCAAATCAAACACCAATAAATGTATCGTGATAACACGTTGCACGAATAGTGCCTTTAAGTTATACCCTTTCAGGTGTAAAAACTGTCAAAATCGGACCATAAATATTCAAGCCCCCAGATATGCTGACCCCAGATCCTATGGCTGACTGTTTAATCGAAAATATCGGTCAATGTGTGAGATATATATGGATTGTCTGTATATCGAAAATGGGTTGAATTCCAGTACTTAACATAAATATTTACGAACTTCCGGTTAACTTTATACGGAGTCTATCGATCAATATGTAAGAAATGTTAATAAAATTAAAAAGAATATTTTTCTAATTACTAAAATTACTCTCCCTTGTTTAAAATAAAGTTTTGTCAACACCTGAAGGGTTTCCCTGGCTTTAATGCTTGCAAGTTGAAAGAATATGAAATGTTCGGTTAGCCCCGAACTTAGCTCTTCCTTACCTGCATACACTATATATAGATAACAATAGCTAATTTAAAATTTCAAGGCGTTTTTAGAGGTTAAGTCAAAATAGTTTGATTACAGACTTTTTTTGTGTACTCGTTTATGTGTTTAATATAAACATACAGAGGAACATTTAATGATATTATATGTAATAATTGGGTGGCTTTTTAAGTCACTTTTAAAGTGTTTTTGAACTTATGTGTGTAGTGGATGCGGTTATAATCGGACTTTGGTTTATAAAGAATTAAGTATTACAAATATTGAAAAATGCTGTATAATTTGCAAATATGTATTTCTAACATTTTTTTATTGTTACATCCAAAAAATTATGTATGTGTACAGAAGTAGATATTATTTACACGGGATGCTGGTTTAAACAATGTTTTAAGTGTAAAAGTACTGGATACAAAAAACAATGTTTCAAGGAAGTGGCACATCGCCAAATGTACAAGTACACATAAAGCATGAAGCCATTGTTGACACATCACATGCATAGCTCATAATGAAACCAAGCACGGTGCCAGAACGTTGATTTAGGTCGTTGAGGCCATTAAAGAGATGCGGTGGCTGAGTGTAGGTGTGTGTGTGCTGTGACAATAACTGAACACTAAGTGGGCTTTTACACACAGACTCTTTTGTAACCCAAACCGGTTTATTGTGGACGAGGGGACGACTAGGAAAGACGAAGGGACCGTGCCACTCGTGTTCGGGTGGCACGCTTTGTGTTCCTGTTCGAAACAGCTCGCTGCTACCCTTTTCAGCATTCCTTTTCACTTTCAAATTCTTTGAACGGTTGCAAGAGCGCTCGGTTTCAAATGAATTCGTTCACAAATTTGAATTCTGTTATCTATTTTTTGTATGTAATATGCAAATATGTATGCATAGAATAATAGAAAAATTTTGAAAAATTGTAAATAAGGAGAAAATTAAGATATAGATTATGGAGTAAAGAAATTATGAATTTTTAATACTTAAAGATTAGGAAATTCCTGTTATAAATTTGGCCTTGAAAATATTAGTAGCGGATATTCAATACATTGTGGTGGATTAGGGAATTTCCGTCTTAAGTATTTCTTTGAAACTATTAAGCGGGTAGGTATTATGCATATTGTTCTACCACATGATTGCAAGCAAAATGTGAGACCATCATCCCAACATACAAATGAAATATGCAGCACGCTCTAAGTGTTGCGCAGTCGAACCGCACAAATATTTTCGAAGATTTTATGAAAAGGAATGACAGAAAAACTCGATTTAAGTTGCTGGACTCTTTTTGCTCGTGTGAATGCACAGAGCGACACCAAAAGAGAATTTGCCGAAAACGAGGGTCAAAAGAGTCTGTGTGTAAAAGCCCACTAATTATGTGCTTGCCTATGTACTTGTACATACAACGTAGCAATATTCGTATATCAATTTATCCAAGTGATGCCCCAGCAGTGCAAGCACATGAATCTGCACTCTGCACCAATATATGCACATATGTATGTACATGTGTATAACGGTAATTTTGTATGTAAGTGCCTATGTATAAACATTCGAATGGCTACGTGTGAATTGGGGTGGATGCGCCAAGATATTGGAAACAATCTCAATTGGGATTAAGAGAGTAACCGCAATAACAAATTGATCAACATACATGACCTGCAATCATTCAATTTACATGTAATGCCACAAATCTGTTGATGAAATTGAAAATTACCAAGCTATAGGGAACAAACAATGCTAGCATTAAGCATAGGTACCAAGCGCTTTGGTTCCTTGGCTTTTATGATACAGTGATAAGTGATGTCAAGCAAATGACAAATGAAATGCAGAAGAAAGACTCGCACCAAATGCACGCGGTAACAATAAATCAGCAACCGCAGAAAATGAATTGAACGCGCAGAGAATGTAAACAAGCAGTCAACCCTTTGCACCGTGTCTGACGTTTACCGCACGTCTAGTCAGAAGCCCACTTCCTTCTTCTGCGTGGTTGCATCACATGGCTGGAAATGCGAGTTACAAACGTAAACAAAAGTATTAGAGGCTGACCTTATTTTCTCACTACCTACACCAAGAAGAAGGCATATGTTGCATCTAATTGCTGTAATTGACAGCAGTTCACTGAACTTTTTGTTGTTAATTTTAAACAAATCTTCAGCATGCCCTCGGAACCGAAGACCACGCAGTAGAAATGTTTCTGAAGTGTCTCATTTTCGAAAGGTATATTTGAAAATATGGGATGTTTTTGTACTATTTTTAGTTATCTTATAATTTTTAAGACTTTGGTAAAAAATTTTATTATACTCTAGCAACCTGTTGCTACAGAATATAATAGTTTTGTTCACCTAACGGTTGTTTGTATCACCTAAAACTAATCGAGTTAGGTATAGGGTTATATATATATAATATAAATGATCAGGATGAAGAGACGAGTTGAAATCCGGGTGACTATCTGTCCGTCCGTTCGTCCGTCCGTCCAATCCGTCTATGCAAGCTGTAACTTTAGTAAAAATTGAGATATCTTTATGAAACTTGGTACACATGTTTCGTGGTACCGTAAGACGGTTGGTATTGCAGATGGGCGTAATCGGACCATTGATCGAATGATAATCAAAAAGAAAAAAATTGTCATAACTGAGCTCCACAATTAGATAAAAGACTGTTATATGGTATACAGGATCAAATTAGGAAGAGGCATCTGCAGTTAAAATTATTTTTTAAAGTGGACGTGGTCCCGCCCCTAATAGGTTTAATGTGCATATCTCCTAAACCACTAAAGCTATAATAACAAAATTCACTGAGAGCAAATGTTTTTAGTACCCTTTATCGACAGTGTAAAAATGGGTAAAATCGGGTGACAACCCCGCCCACTCCCATATTATTAAAAACTACTGAAAGCGCGATAAATCAAGCACCAAACACGTCTGAGTCACTAAATTTTTTCTCTGGGATGGTATGAGATGACTTTATAGGAACCGTCTTAAAAATTAGACAGTGGGCGTGGCACCGCCCACTTTTTGGTGAAACCCCATATCTTTAGATATGCTTAGCCGATTTCAACCAAAGTCGGCAGATAACATTCTTCTCATATTTCTATGTTATAGTGTGAAAATGGGCGAAATCGGATTACAACCACGCCTATTTCCCATATAACACCAACACTTTATTTATTTTCTCTTATTATTAATTTTTATACCATTAATTTTTAAACTTGCACTCAAATATAGATAAATAAATGTATGGAGTTATAAGTACCTTAAATTTAATGTAAACAATATTATGCTGTCTGCTTCGTTTTGCTTCAGACAATTGATTTTACAGATAAATTCGATGCATGCTTTTATTTCAGTTCATTCACTTCGCAGAAGCAGATGCAAAATATTGGGCAACTCTCATAACTTTACGCTTTTTGAAGCAATTGTCGCATTATTTTTAGAGAAAAGCGGGAAGAGCAAACCGTTCACTCTGACATACTCTTTGCTTTCTTCGATTCGTTGTTAAACTATGAATTGTCAAGCAAAGCGAGCAAAGTTGTATGTGAATCAGCCATTATACAGTGAGTTTCATTCATCGGTTCTTGCAAGACCACAAGAAATAAATTAATATAATGACTTCAAGCAAGCCTGAAAATGCTCTCTTCAAAACTCGTTTTTGGCTTGTATATTATATATAATATTATCCACATCTATTTTTCAAAAAAAAAAAAAGATCCGCCCTTTTTTTTAATCATAAATTTTGTAAGTGGGTCTTTTGAGGGAATAGTATTTTCTATTTTGGGACTAAATCTAAGAGTCTACTATCTCATAAATGCATCTTTCACACACATATACACTTTGCTTGATATAAGTAGATTTTATGTATTTGCTCCGCTTTTCTAAAATTAAATTTCGAATAACACGGAAATGCGTCGCACAAATTTTTGCAAAAATGGAAAAAAATAAATAAATAAGTGTTTTATTTATACATATCAATTTCGAATATTTTGTTTAAAAAATATATAAGAAGTCAATGTTTTAATAATTTAGAAAAGTTTTGAAACGTGTTACATAGTGTTTTTCGATAGTAGTATTTAAATGCGTTAAACAAAACCAAATATATAAAATATCCAAAAAAATTTACTTTTTACTATAATAAAAAAAAATTAAGAGTAAAAAGTGCAGAATGAATGATCAAAAATTGTATGAAATCGACTTCGAAGCAAAACAGACAGAAAGTTCCAAATATTAATGCATTTAAAGAAATAGGTATGTATGTATGCAAACATATTGTAAGTAAGTATTGAGTTTTAGTTTTTATTTTTATTGTTTTTTTGTTGTTTAGCTACCTTACCTTCATCGGACTCAATTTGAAGGCAACGACGCCTTTTGTATGCTTATTGAACATAGCTCGCCAGTTTATTAGTTCTTATCAAACCGGTGTGTTAGATTTTAAAAATTCATTTTATAGCGCGCGAATATTAATTGATGAAAAAATAACAAAAATGATTGCCGCACAATTTTTCGCGAACTACACAAAGAATATTTGTGTTTCAATGACAATTTCCAAGGCACATCAAGAAATTTGTGCAAAACAGAAGCCTATTCAGCATCACAAAAGCACGCAAACTAAATTGTTCGCCGACACTAATGGTTCATACCGCTGCATACACCCCAAAAGAGAACGCACTTATGCACCCTCCTACAAGTTCGAAGCAAGTCTGCTCAGCGCTGCCGAAATAATGGAAATACAGACCACTGAGATCGCAGCTTAAGCAATTGAGAGAATAAACACCACTAGCGCTCTTCACAAAAGCGCAGAAATAAACATATTGTTGTTTTCACTTTTGTTCAGTGAAATAAAATGCTTTCCGCAGCGTCGACACACACATATGCAAATCCCAATGTAAACATAACAAAACCGCAGCGGACGTTTTAAATTACAATCGAAACGATTTTCAGCGTTAAACGAGCTTTCCCCACTCCAAAATTGGTATATGAATGTTCCGTTACTCACCACACAGGCATCACGCATCTGCGTCACTTGCATTTCCAGATCACGTATACGTTTGATGGCCGCCTCTTCGACACGCGTGTGTTTAGCAACTTTGTCGGCAATGCGTTGAACTCCCTCCATGGTAAGCGAATGCTGTCGTGGCGACGGATGCAATGGAGAACCTGGAGTTTGCGTTATTGTTACTGGATTGTGTGCACCACCTGTTAATGGCGCTGAGTTGGCCGGACCTGCGCCACTCACAGACACATCCTCGGTGGCACTATTTGTATTTGAAGAAATTGAATTATGCACAGATTCGAGCGTTTTCGTTTTCTGGTCGAGAGTATTCTCAATGTCGCGGAGCTGCAATGGTACCAATTTTAATTACTTATTAATGAAATGATGAGACAATGCAAGTTGAATTAAATTAAAAATAAATCAAATGAAAATAAAATTGAATGATTCAAACAAAAATTTATTAAATTAAAAACATTGTTCAATTTGGTAGAGATTTCAATAAAATGTTCCCTGTTTTATACCCTGAAAAGGGGTAAGTTTGCCACAAAGTTTGTCCGTCTGTCTAGTCCCTCACGAACTAGTTTCTCAGGTTTTAAGGTAATATTCTGAAATGTTGCACCTGTCCTTTTCAACTAAGAAACTACTGGTTTGTCCGAACCGATATCGGACCACTATGACATATAGCTGCCATACAAACTGAACGATTGGAATCAAGTATTTACTTGTATAGAAAACTCTTTTATTTGACGAGGTATCTTCACTAAATTTGGCAGGGATTATTGTCTAATGCAACAATGTAATATCCGAAGAGCTTGTATAGATCGGATGACTATAGCATATAGCTGCCATACAAATTGAACAATCGGAATCAAGTTCTTGTAAGCTTTTGTTTTTTGTTTGGGATTTTGAAAGGATGACTCCGCAGATTGGCCTTGTAGCAGCCATTTTTTATTAAAATGTCAATATAAAATTTTTTTATACTTTTTTGAAAAATAGTTTAAGTTTTATAATGGATAAACAAAATTTAAAATTACAAATAAATATATAATAAATAAGTATATACTTGTATAAATTACAAATTTACCTGATCCACAACTTGATCCAACACCATGCTTTGCTCTGCTGACGGACGCATGTTTTGCATTTTCTCTTCCAAAAAACGTATACGCTCCTGGTAGCCCGCACCAATTTCCACTTTTAAACTCTGGACCTCATGCTGAAGTGTTTCGTTTGAACGCGTTTGGGTGTTTATGTAATCCTCCAGTTGCTAGAATTGCCCACAAAAGTTGTAAAATTGATAAAGAAAAAAGTTTTTAAAGAGCATTTTAAAACCGTGTGGTGTTATTTAAATATATAAAAGTGAATTGTGAAGTTATCCCACTGCCTCACCTTGTTCTTTTCACTCAAGACATGCTCATTGAGCGCTTTGGTCTCCACTTGGGTTTCCAATTCGGTGATAATTTCACGCAAAACGAAGATTTTATCAATGGAAGCTTTCAATTCAACTTCAAATTTGTCACGTTTCGCATTAGACTCGTTGAGTCTTTGTGTGAGTTCCCGAATTTGAGTCTCCAATTGCTCTGCCTGTGTTATAAAAAGTATAAAAGATGTATTAAAAAGTAAAAATTTAGTTTCTTGAACAATAATAGACAATTTAAGTATTCCATCAAACCGAACTTAATAAATTAATAAAAAATAGTTTCACAGTTTTAAGAAAAAATCACCCAAGAATTTGGAAGTGTAAAATATTTTTAATAATACATTTGTATAAATTTAAAATTAGAAAAAGATCCACAATGAAAGGTCAGTGCTAATTTACAAAAACGCTATCTTTTGTATATAACAATTGCCAAAGAGCTTCTAAGCTCTTCCAAAGGGATCTAAAATTTATAGCGGCTGTTAGTTAATTTTGTAAGTGATGAAAGTGATGAAATATTCTATTTTCTACTCAAGTAAATATATACACATGTATATTTAAATATTTTTTCGCGCCACAAGTGTTTACAACAATACATGTGCAATTATACTTATACTTATAATATATATACATATATGTTGCCCTTGGACTGTCGCGTCGTAGTGCGGAAAGTTATCTAACTTTCCTTTTTTTCAAAAGCCGCCACACGACTACAGTATCCGTCAGAGGCAGGGTACCATAAAATACAATTAGGTGTTAGATGTTTACATTCGTACTGTATATAGCATAGAGGTAAAATGTAAATAAAACACTCTTTTGATATAAGTATGTAATTCCAATTTTTTGCTAATTGGCTGAAGTATATTTTTTATTTACATAAAAAAACATAATATTTCTATACTTTTATAAACTGAATATGTATTAAAATTGTTTGTAATGTTGTTGAAATTTCGCATAAAATTTCGTAATCGTTAACAGATTTATAGACATTTCTGTATAATTTAGTTAGAGCCAAATTGCAAAATTTGTTAGCATTAAAAGTGTGTTTCATTAATATACGGATTATATAAGTCCCTTCTCTGTTCGCTATAACAAAAACTTTATACGTCAGCGCATACCTAAAGTTATTGAGATAAATTCAATTCATGAGAGCTTGTCAATTACTCATTACAGTGGCGTCATATTTTGATATTCTACCTCCGCTTTATTATCCAAAAAAGGACAGATTTATCCATTTCTTTGTTCAATTCAACAACAAAGTTATCGTGTTGAATTGAAGCAAGAGAGTATGCGAATACCACATTAAAGTGATATAACTTCTATCTTTAATGCTGCCAAGTTTTGTTTTGCATATTTTAGCTCACTTTTACTATTGTGATTGGTTCAAATGCCAAATAAAAATACAAATTTCTTTTGTTTCTTGTATTTTTAAAACTTAAGACCTAAAATCAATTAAAATAATTTATAGAAAACCAAAGGTTTACAGCAACGTTTTTTAACGCGAACAAAATCATTTCTTCACTAAGAAACAATCATAACACTATTGTGCATGCATCAGAAGACATGTTAGCGCAGAGTTGCACCAAAAGTGCTGACCATTTGTTTGAGAATCTAGTATAGTTTGATTGGCTGGAGAGTAACGCTTAGCGAATCGAAGACAGCTAATATGAATTATGCCAGTAGTTTGATCCATTAGCCGCTTCCCAAATTTTGGTGAATTGATGACAGTCACTAACAGTAAACTGTATTTTTTCTGCTATCGAAATAAATACCATTCACCAACACCCAACTACCATACACTGATCTGATTCGTCTTGATAAAACCTAATAGTTCTTTAATACATAATAATAGTAATTTAATTTATAGATAATATTTAACATTTTCTTGGTTAGAAAAAACATGCAAGCTTTATTTTATTATTGAAATCAACTTGTTTATAAACATATTAAGCAAAATAATAATTGGTTAGTAAAACAAGTAATGGTTAGAAAATACTAAAAAAAAAATTATGTTAAACAATTTGTTATTTCGAATTATGGTAGTCTGTAAAATTAATTGCATTATTCTTAACATTTCTGTTCAGAAAATAAATTCATAATCCCATTCATAGTACTAGAAATAGAAAATCAAAATCAATTGTTAGCTTAAATTTCAAAAAAGTGTGAGAAAATGAAATGAGAATATTTAAAACACATTTCCTTGCACAAAACTAATAAACAACAACTTAAAATACAGAATTGCATCAACACCAGCAACATAGAGAGATTGCAATGAACAAATGAAGCAAACACCAAATCAATAAATCCAATGAAAATAACGTCAGACAGTAGAATGTGTGCATGTGCCACTCACCTCCTTGGACGCATTTTCAAAAACATTACGCTCCTTTTCTTTATCGCGTAGCTGCGCCTTTAGATTCTCAATTTCGCGTTGAAACTCATCGCGTTCTTGTTCCCTCTCGGCAGCCTGGTCTTCGAGGAAATGACGAGTTGCTTTCAGTTGTTTATCCGCCGCGTCAATCTGCATAGTTTCCATTGTGTTGCCAAACAATTATTTTAATTATTTATTATAAGACAAATTTCTCTTATTATATTAAACTAAAATAAGTTCTTATATATTTAATAAAAAGTAATTCGGATGTATTGTACAATTATTTTTTCTAATAAATTGTGAAAGAATTATTAACCCATAGGCCTAATTATGAAAATTCGGTATAATTATAATGTAATTTGCTTGTATTACATCTGAAATATATACTTACATACATCTCATATATTCGACTCCATCATTTCCATAGGTCATATTTACATTTCACAATTTCTAAAAAGCTACTTCACCCACCTGTGACTGCAGATCGTCGCGATCCTTCTTTCCGCATTCCATCACCTTTTCGCCTTCGCGGCAAAAGTCTTCGATCATTTGCAGCAACACAACGGTGGCATCGTTGTTGGGTTGTTGTTGCATAGGCGATGAGAGTATGTTGCGCGCCTTCTCCTGCAATTGTGTGAAACTGGTCGATGAACGGTCTGAACCGACGGCACGTGGCGGGCTCCTCAGCGACCCATGCCCATAGCCCTCTGCATAATCGGTGTTGTTAAGCGAGTTTAGTTGTGACAATTGATCACGTAACGCCTGCAGTTCCTGTCCCAGTTCTGCATTCCGTTGGATTGTGTGCTCCAACTCTTCCTGCAGCTTGACACGGTCGGTCTCCGATTTGACTAGACGATTTTTCAATTCGTGTACTTGAAAATTCAGCTCCGATGCATTGCCGCCAGGCGTAGAGAAGAGCTCATCATTATTATTAATATAGTGTTCGGTGCGTAGTCGATTCAAATCGGGCGGCAGCGAATTGAGCAATTGTCCTTGCTGATGTTTTATGTGCTCCTTATAGGTTGGCAAGTTTTGCTCATTAAACGATGAAGTGCGCATAAAACGACGTATCTGTTGGCCAATGGATGGAGATTTTTCACCATCACTATCGCCTTCGCAGCAACTATCAATTTTCTCCAGACCACTTGATAAGCTAGATAGGCGTCGCCTTTGGCGCTTGCTTAGTTCTTCAGAAATATGCAGCAAATACAGTGCTTCGGTGTTTAACCGTTCCAAGCATTCACGCAAATCAAAATCTTCATCTCCGCTTTTGTTGCTAACGAATTCCACGAGACTAGGATCTTCCACCAAATCCAATAAATTGTGTACGTCTAGTATGCAACGGGACTGCTTGTTAGAAGAAAGTGATGCATTCAAGAATGAAATATTCATATCCACCTCTGGCGTTTGCTCGTCTAAGGTGCGATTATGTGCGCCCATTAGGCGCTGTACCTCTTGCAAGAGAGTGCTATTTATGTCTTCCTCGCAATTTACGACGCATTTGGCGAGTTCAGCTAGGACACTGCGGAAAGTTTTGCACAGCTCTCGCAAATTGTCACGATCACTAATTATCTGTTCAAGGTTGCGAGCTGAATCGAACGTAGAATTTCGTTTATTCTTACGATTCAGCTGCTTTTCATATTCCATTTTTAGGCGTGACATCTGTGAAATTGCAAAAATATATATTTTAAGTTTAACATATTCTGTGAAACTAGGAAAAAAGTGAAAGTTAAGTAAATTCAATAGTTCTACTCTAATTGGTGCTGCCACCAGTTCAAATTTTCACGGTTATCTAATTGAAAGAATATAACCTGCTATAAGAATATAATTCGAAGTTTTATTTTTGTCATGGAAACGGAGTGCCCTCTTTTGTGTTACTAACTTGGTAGGCCAGTGGGACACAAAACTTGAAATTATGAAGATATACTTCTCAACATATGTTCCGGGGTAATCTTACCAGGTTCTAACGGTGGGTTAAAGAGCATTAAGGATGTTGTCGACTAAAATTCCTATAACGCAAAACCTTATACTCCAGAATTAGCAAGTAGTTGATCGACCAAGTGCACAAGATCATAGCACTATTTTAAATAAATACCAGGCAGGTTGAAAATTTGTTATAGTTTTTATGAGGGGACGCCACTAGAAATATACACATGTTTTGTAAATAGACCTAACCTTCAAAAAACATGTGCTTAAATTTCACAGCTGTTGCACAATTGGAAAGTGATATATAACATTTGACCAAGTTTTGGTATTTTGAAAATCTATAAAAAGGAATTTTATGTGTTATTATGTAATGAAACACTATTTGTGATTACAAAAATCCGTGGGATTGAAAAAAGGAGAAGCAGCAATTCGTAAGTAATTTGCTTAATTCCAAAAACTTAAAAAATCTACCAAATTATCATTTATATTCTTAAAATGAAGTTGACTGGGATAGGAGGTACTCCAAAGATATCAAACCAATGCGTTGGATACATCGACCATGAATGGTTTATATTAAGTCAACACCCAGAAGGAAACGTCGGAGACCCTATAAAATATATACATAAATAAGAGTATTATTATAGCTTAGGTACAACCGAACTTAACATTTTTTGTTATGCGGATATCTATTTTTAAATATAAATACAAACAAAGACGTAATAAACTAAAATATTTATATACACATTATACATAAATACCCGCATATTAAAAACGCTTACCTCCTCTTCATGTTTAATTTGCAGTTGTGCGATTTTTAATTGACTCTTAGCTGTGAATTTTTCACGCAATAAAATCAGTTCCGGCGGCCAATGCTGATCGTCCGTTGTTGTTTCCGACAATAAAGTCTGCAAGAAAAACACAAAATTTTAAAATAATATTTTTAAATGCATTTAATGCATAATTATAAAGAGTAATTGTATGGCAATAGACAAGTAATGGAATGCTTTTGAGGAATATTTTGCGGATCGTTCACATAAAGGAGTAAACTCGAAGAAAAGATAAACACTGATTGAAATTCAACCCTTTGAGTACCGGAGGCTGATATATCGGCTTTTGTTGCACTGGCGAGAAGTGGCAGAGCCGATATATCGGCTCGCGCCTTGTAGCGGTTTACTACTCGCATTGCCGGAGAACTCTATCTCAAAATAAATTTGTAATGCGTTATAAATGATCTAATTTCATTATAAGATAATTTTAAAAAAATTATTTTTTGATTGAACTCGATCTTGACGACGTTTTTCCTATCGCTTGGAGGTACCGAAATCTAACATAAACACCGTACCTTCAAGTTATGTTTTGTTTTTGTTATGTAACATTGTTTATCTTGTTACACAATATATATTGAATATAGAAAGTATATACTTTATAATAATTGACCCATATACAATTATGAAGAAAAGATGACTGTTTGTATGTGCAAATACGTTTTTTACAAGGTATCTCAAATTCATTTCATTTACAAACGTTTATACCTTTGTTTTTTATATAATTTTCAAATGAATTCGAAAAAAAATTCATGTAAATATTGTTTCTCGTTTCGTTTTTACAAGCATTTTCCGAACCCTTGTAAAACTGTGAAATTCGGCCGGTTTTTTATCGCATATGCATTTTTATTTCGCCCGGCACTAAAAGGGTTAAAGCACTTTCAATAAAGAAATATTTTTGAAGCTTTATGAACCATGATCTCTAACAGGAGAAAACTTCAACTGCCAACATAAAGCTATACATAAATAAATATAATTATAAATATCTCAACATGTGCCACATATCATACATGTGGCACACTGTTTACATTGTAAGTAAAACGAATTGATGACCTCGGCGCACATAAAAAATTAAAAAAAAAAATAATTTTCGTTCCCTAATGCTTTCATTCATCAAAAGTGGCGGCGGGGTTCAATAGTGAATTGTGGTTTGTACAGGGTGCCGCACGAATCGTGTTACAAAAACAAACCGTAATAACTGTTTTTCTGTGTAAGTAATCCACTTACTTTTTTATATTTGGCAGGTTATTGTTTAATTTTTTTTAAAAATAATGCTTGGAATACCGAAAAGAAAGCGGTGTCCTGCTTTGCAGTCCGTCATTTCCGTCCAAAGGAAATTCAGACGGAATTTTGACTCCCCCGAGTAGATGGACGATTATGAGGTTGGTAAACATGTTTGCCGAATCTGGAAGTATCGAAAGAAGACCGCACCATCGAGATCCGTATATTCGTATTTAAGAAACAATCGCGTTGCATCGTCAATTCAGGCAAATCAAAGAGTTTCGAATCGCAACTTATCGATACAACTTGGAGTTAGCAGACGGTCATTACAACGGATAATTCATGATGACTTAAACCTGCTTCCGTACAAAGTTCAAATAACAAGCCCTCTAGATTTACCCATTCACTTGGAGTTTTGCCAAAAAATGATTGGAATAGCCAAGGAAGACAATAACTTGATACATTGCCTGTTTATGTCTTATAAGGCCCATTTTGATCTAAACGGAAACGTGAACAGGCCAAATTGCCGTATATGGAGTGAATCAAATCCAGAAATAATCCACGAGGGTAACTGTCAATGGGCAACGTTATTTAAAGATATTAAATGAGACTTTTTACCCAGAACTGCGCCGAAGACGTATTCCTTTCAATAGCAATTGGTTCCAGCAAGATGGAGCAACTGCATACATAGCCAGACTGGAAATTTTAAAACAAATTAATATCAAGGAACTCCACTTTCCGCTGGCTCGCATGGTCACCTGACCTGACTGCATCAGACTTTTTTTATGAGGTTATATGAAGCTAGTGGTGTACAAAACTTCAACCCTTTAGCCCGAAATGAATAATTTTCTAATTAGGTGTCGCATATGAATGGCTGAGCATGGAGGTCATTTACGGTACATAGTTTTTTAAAATAAATAATTATACAATCAAACAAAAAAAAACGTAATGCCTTGATTAAAAAAATTTTACGGTTTGTTGAAGCACGATTCGTACGCCACCCTGTATGTAGGACAATGAAAGTTACACTTTTACTCAGCATTTGTGCCTGTGTGAGAACGCTTGTATTTCGTATTTAGGGTGCCGAAAATTTCCCTTCGGAAATTGTTCCAGTTCCCCTTTCATGTTATAGTTTTACCAAAAGTTCGCTTAGTTAGAGCTGGCATACAGACAGATGGAATGGTACACTGTTTACATGCGTTTTAATGCAAAGTTTACATGGAACATTTCAATTTTAACGAGTATCAGGGGAGTAAACATTACTTCTAACAAAATACACTGCATTGAAATTTGATAAAAATAAAAAAAACTTCAAATATGAGCCATAAAGCATAGGAAATAGTCAAAGACTGACTGCCCTCGAGTAACCTAGGAGCTTTGGCGAGAACAGTTTGAATTATCTTGGTAAGGCCTTGTAAGGAAACTTCTTTAACTGAGATTTTCTAGTTTTATGTAAATAGCTCAGTACTTCCTGGTATGTGTCCGATTTGCTACTCTCTAACGCATAGAGAAGCAAATACAGTTTTTTTTTTAATCATACTATCCATTGTTTCGCGAACCTAAGGCATCTGTTAAAATGAATATGGTATGTAATTTCTAGGGAAATAAAAATGTATATATAAAAAATTTGGCAAGTGCTACTATTAAAAAAAATAAATTTATAAAGCAAATGTGTGTATTATGTTCCGATGACGTTCGTAAATGAACGATTGATATTATTCAAGAAAAACCGCATATTTTTATGCGTCTGTGGAATAAATTTATATCATTTTGAATCAAAATAAGCAACCACCGGCTGGTAATGGAAAGCATTTGAGTTTATAGACATAGTATTTAACCGGTACGCCATCATATATTAGTATTGTACTTGTATATACAGTGAACCAAAAAAGAAACTTGTACAGAGTCAGGGACTGTTTTCTCTTTAATTATTTCAGTTTTTAAGCTGCAACCAAGAGTGACAATTAAGAATATTATAAATTTTTGGTATTTTTATAAAAATTTAAACAATAAATTAATTTTTTTGCTAACGATTGCAAAAAATTAATATATCCCAATTTTGAGCAACCAACTATAAAAAACTGTACTTTACGTTGGCAACAATTTAAAAGCAGTCATCAAGTAGGTACCGTTATTTTGTCTGGTTTATATGCGTATGGTGAAAATGTGTTATTTGGTAAGAACATTTATTTTGTTGCGTTTGTAGATTTTGAAGAAAAAATGGTGAATAAACAAACATATCAAGATTTACAGACTCTGGTAGTCAAATTTTGGCAAGAGCACAACAGTACTCATGAAATAGGCAATATTTTCAAAAACAAAAACACATACTATTGTTGAGTACATTATTGCTAAATTCAACAAGTAAGGAGGGGCTAAGTTCGGGTGTAACCGAATATTTTATACTCTTGCAAGTGCCAAGGATCATAGCCGGAAAAAATCATTTATATAGTATATGGGAGTTTGAGTAATTTGTGGACCAATTTCACATATTTTCGCCATTAAACTATAGTATATTCAATATTATGCTCTTTGCAAAGTTTTATTTCAACATATTCAAAAGTACTTCATTTGTATACTGGAAAGTAAAAAAATTAGAGGAAATTTAAATTGGTGTTACATGGGAAGTAGACGGGGTTTTAATCCGCCATTTTTGTACTGTAACATAAGCATGTCATGATTATGTTGTGTACAAAATTGGGTTGAAATCGATCGTAGATCTCGAGATATGGGTTTTCACCTAAAAGTGGCCGGTGCCACGCTCATTGTCCCATTTTTGTATTGTCGTGTAAAATTTTAAACCTCTGACTTGTTTATTTAATGAGTTATCGCACTTTTAGTATTTTTAATCAAAACCGTTATATAGAGACTGGGCGGGGTTATCACCCGATTTCACCCAGTCTATAGGTGTCTTAAAAAGATTTGTCCGATGTGAATTTGATTAGTATAGCTTTAGTGGTTTAAGAGATATGCACATTAAACCTTTTAGAGGGAGGGGACACGCCCACTTTTTCAAAATATTTTAAACTACAGATGCTTTTTGCCAATGCCATTCGTGGAACCAAATAACAGTCCTGTGTCTTATTGTAAAGCTTATTTATGGCAATTACGCCTATCTACAATGCCAACCGTTTTACGGTGCCAAGTATACCAAATTTCATCAATTCATTTATATAATACTATATCTATATCGATTATTTTTAGGTGATACAAACAACCGTTAGGTGAACAAAACTATTATAGTCTGTAGCAACATGTTGCAAGAGTATAAAAATACTGGTGAAGTTAGAAGTTGGCGGAAGGTCCAAAAAAAATTAACACACCCCATGCTGAAAGAAAAATTACTCGGAGTATTAAGAAAGATTCGCTCGATTTAAGATCGTATACACCACGAAGCAAGCTTCAAATAACGAAGAGAAATATTGCGAAACGTTTACTATATTTCAAAGAGTATATCCACCGTATTAACGAATTTTGTATTCCTGTAATTTTTACCGATGAGTCCAAATTTAATTTATTTGGATCTGATGGTCGTCAATTTATATGGCGTAAGGAGGACAAAGCGCTAAAAGATAAAAAATTAAATAAGACTGTCTGCATAAAGGAGGCTGAATTGAGTAGTATATGGTGCAATGGAAGCAAAAGGGGTGCAGTGCGAGCAAATGGTGCCAGTAACCTTGTTTTCATTTTATGCAAAATAATTTGGCCGCCTCAGTAGCTAAACTCAATTTAAATGGTGGTACTGCCTTATTCAGGATAACGACTCGTTAAGGAATTGTTGTTGTACAACTTGAAAAAAGTACTGCCACATTTTCCTCAGAGACCTCAATCCTATTAAACACATTTGGGCCTATATGGAG